CTGAGAGGTAAGACTCAAACCACTGGCGTGCGGTTCCTGATATGCTATTTTCCAATAGGGTTGACAGGATGCTGCTCTTGCCAGTCTTAGGGCTTCAACAACTGAGAGCAAGGCAGTCTCGGTCGAATGTCCACTTCTGAAGCCAGATTGGTTGCTGTCCAGGAGGTTGTTCTGTGTGAGAAAGGCTGAGAATTGGTTGAACACAACTCGTTCAAGTGTTTTTGCAATGAAAGTTAGAAGGGAATCCGGTCTGTAGTTCTCTAAAAGAGTTGGGATAAGAGTGGGTTTCTTAAGAAGTGGTAGGTTACGTCGAAAAGTGACATGTGGAGGGGTATGTGTTGTGTCAGGAACCATGTTGAGGTTAAGAGTGAGGAGGAAGTGATCCGAGGTGTGCAGTGGAGTAACCAGCACATGATCAGTGGAGCAGTGTCGTGTGTAAATAAGGTCCAGTTGGTTGCCTGATTTGTGAGTAGCCGTAGTTAATACTCGCTTGAGATCAAAAGAAGCAAGCAGAGTGTGGAAGTCTGCAGCCTGAGGTTTATCTAGGTGGATGTTGAAGTCTCCAAGCATATCACTGTATATCACAACTGTTCAGTGTGTTTTTAAACACATAATGTTTATTTTAAGTTTCAGATGTTTAAATACACACTAGAAAAAAAAACATTTGTAATTTGTTAAAATACACACTGATATCTATGGAAGCAGAAATAATACATCTTTCAAACATAATGTGAAGACGTGGTTTATTCCTGTCAAATGCAATGTGCAGGTAACTATAAAGCTTACTCTCGTCACCTGTTCACCAGCCATTCACTATATGTCTTTTGGGAGAAATGGATGTAATTGTGTGTTGTAAATCCGACAGGCTCTGACTGCATGGCAGCTCACAAACCCCCGATCACAAATGATTAACTGTTTGGAGCTGGTGGCTCCTCTGTAGAATAACCTGATCTAGAGTACTAAATGCTGCTTGTTACGATTGATGATTCTAAATCACTGAAATATTTCCTCAACAACATATCAACCATAAAAACTGTTGAAAAGCAAAGTAAAAGCTTTGTTTACATCCAAATACTATATTTTTGGCAAAATAATTTAAATATTAGCTGGTTATTGTTTCGACTTACTCTCTGTGAACATATTAGGATGATTAAAGTTGGGTGTTTCTTCTTCTCCCATTGTTGGTTGTTTCTTCTTCCCCCATTGATTCTGTTTCTCCCATTCCTCTCGTTCTCTCTTCAGTTTCTCTCGTATCTTTCTCTCTTGTTCCTCAATGTCTTTAATGTCTCTTTCATATTGTCCTTCTCTCTCTCTAAATTCTTCTTCTCTTCTCTTTCTCTCTTTGTCACGCTTCTGTCTTTCTTCCTCCATCATCACCTTCATTCTCTTATTTGCTTCTTCATGTTTGAACTGAAGTTCTTCTCTCTCTCTCAGTCTTCTTTCTCTTTCTCGTTTTAGTTTCTCATAATATTCATCCCATGTTTGCTTTTCTATCTTTCTCCTTCTCTCATCCTCTTCTTCTCTTCTCTTTCTCAGTTGATCATGCATCTGTCTTTCTTCCTCCATCATCATCTTTATTCTCTTCATCTCTTCTTCATGTTTGAACTGAAGTTGTTCTCTCTCTCTCTGACTTCTCTCTTCCTCTTGTTTAAGTCTCTGATTATATTCATCCCACATTTCCTGTTCTCTCTTTCTACATTTCTCCACCTCTTCTTCTCTTCTTTGTTGTTCCTGTTGTTTCTGTTTCTCCCATTCCTCTCGTTCTTTGTTCAGCTCCTCTCGTATCTTTCTCTCTTGCTCCTCGATGTCTTTAATGTCTCTTCTATATCGCTCTTTTCTCTCAATAAATTCGTCTTCTATTCTTTTTCTCTCTATCTCATGATTCTGTCGTTCTTCCTCCATCTTCATCTTCATCCTCTTTTTCTCTTCTTTATGTTTGTTCATCAGTTCTTCTTTTTCTCTGTTCACTTGCTCCACTCTCTCCATCAGGATCTTCATCTGTTGTTCTTGTATTTCTCTTTCCATCTCTCTGAACATCTTACATGAGTAGTAACTCCCTCCATTTGTTTTCACCATGTTGTCTATCTTCTGCAGTAGATCAGTCACCTGTGTTCGGTCTCCAGTCTCATTATTGAACACATGGAATCTGTTTCCACACACTTCAATCAGTTCATTTAAAGCAGATCCAGGTTTTCCCAAACACTGATCAATGGTTTTGTTCTTCAGTTTGTCTCCATTGGTAAATAGCACTATGGTGTACTTTAAAGAGTTTTCTCCAAAAGATTCTTGGATGATCTTCACTGCTGTTTGTTCTTCTTGAGTGAATCGTCCCAGTGGAATCAGTAAGAGAAACACATGTGGTCCAGGCAGAATCATTGGGATGCAGTTTCTGATTTCTCTCTGGGTTTCTTCATTACTGAGTTCAGTATCAAACAGTCCTGGAGTGTCGATCACAGTGATGTGTCTGCTGTTGATTTCATCTGTCTCTTTTTGACACTTTTTAGTTACAGACTCTTCAGAAATGTCTGATATAAATGCTTCTCTTCCTAAGATGGTGTTTCCAGTTGAACTCTTCCCAGCTCCAGTTTTTCCCAGCAGAACAATCCTTAGTTCATCTTCTCTGTCTCTTGAATCTACAGATAGATCAAATAAAAGTGAATATTCAAGTGAATATTGTAAATTATCGAGATCATCAGAGAATATTGTGTATATTTTATTCTGAAGCATCATGTGATGAACATAATATTTCTTTGGAACTCAGTGTCAAGGCACTGGTCTGATCTGGGTTTGTTTATGTTGTGTCCTGGTCTGTCTGTAGCACATGGCATTCAGTTGGCATTTATGTTTGCCATGTGCTGTATTGTCTATTGTTACCTTATTATCTTGTTAGGGTTAACACCTATTTTAGATCATTAGTCACCCTTTATATTCCCCTCTTGTTTTCTGTCCTCTGCCAGATCGAATCTCTGTTCGGCTTAAACTGATTCCTCTTCCTTTACAACCCTGACACTCAGAATATAATATTATTTTACAAATCTGTGTAGACTTTAACAATCATGAAGTTTAATTCATGCAGATTTTCTGATCATTACCTTGTGACTGAAACCACGTCTCTAATGAATGGACTCTCTTCTTCATTTCTTCAAATTTCTGCAGTTTCTCCATCTGTGCCTCCATCAGTGTCTCTGTGGAGAAACAAACACCACTATTTTCCTCAACCATCTGCTCCAGTTTCTCCATCAGCTCAGACACTCGTGTGTTCAGGCCGATGAAATGATGTCGTCCTCCAAAACTCTTAATGACAGACTGTGTTTCTTCATTGAGTTCTGCTGTCTGATGCTCTGGATTCTGCTTTATGAGGATCATGATGTGTTTGTTGACTCTTGAGCTGAAGATCCTCTGGATCTCCTCTATTTCTGCTCTGTCTTCATTATTGAGTGGAGCATCAGGAATGATGAGGATGAAAGCATGAACTCCAGGATGACAGAGAGACACACAGCGGTGAGTCTGATGCATCACGTCCTCCTCTGGGAGCTGAGTGTTGAACAGAGCTGGAAGCTCCAGCAGACTGATCAGACGTCCATCAAGCTCCACGTCTCTCCTCACACACTCGGAGCTCAGCTCGGATCTGCTCTCGCTCTGCTTCAGGATCAGGTTTGATGTGAAGGATTTTAATTCTCTGTTACTCCCACACACAACCAGATTCAGCTTCACACCCTCTGGATCTGTGTCAAAGAAATAAACTAGTTTACAATGTGATTTGAAATTAGATTAATGTTGCATTCACATAATGTCTTTGAATTACTGTAATCACAATTGCACTGTATTTGACTAGTTTTCCACTAAAAACCATTTGCGTATTTGCTGAACACATACTCGTGGAAACACTCAAGAGAAAGAGATAAAAATATAATATAGCTGCAAGTAGCAATCACCAGGATTCGAGTGCTTTAAGACCTTTGAGTAATTATAGACATTTTAAGTTGATTTTTATTCAAAATGGCTGAAAAATCATATGGGACAGAAGTCTTTTGAAGATTTATTTTCTTGCAAGAAAAGTCTACAGTCATACAGATAGACTGCAGAGTGTGAAAAAGAGGCACCCCAACTCAACATTTATACCTTCATCAAATCCGCATGCTTTGATCTCATCCAATCATAATGCATATTCAACATGTATGTCCATTTAAGGTGCCTAACTATGTCCTCCAGATGCATTTGTAAGAAGCCAGGACATCTAAAAGCTGACATAACATTTTCTCGTCTCACACTTGTCTTGCGCTTAGATTTCCTGTTATGTCTCATCTATCTCTTGACAAACTTAAGCATGTTACTTAGACAGTCAATCAAGAAAGAACACTCCTTAGCAGAGTAAAGCAAATAAAACTACTAATAATATGAATAGAAAATAAAATTTCCTCCACAACTAGTAATACTATTTAATGATTTATCACTTTTGACCAATAGGTGCTCCCAAATTGTTGTGGTGTGGCTAACTAGGGATGACAATGACACACACAGTTTGATTCCAATATGCCAAAACAGTGCAGAAATACAGACTTAGATCCATTTGGGCATTTTTTATATTTCCTGACCACTAGGTAGGAGAGTTCTTCATCAAATTCATGCATTATTTAAGAACGATTGGGTGTATCAAAAAGCTTTTGATATATTTTTGTAAGGACCATCAAAAGATGGTCTGTATCAATTTTGGTGAAAACCGGACCAACCATCCAGGACGGACTCGAAAAAGTTAAAAAAAATTTTTTTTACATAATAAGGTTTGGATGACAGCAGTGGTTTTTGAGGAAAAGTTGTTCAGAATGAGGAATCTAACATATGATATGAATATTGTGTGTATGCATGAAACATTGCATGATATAAGAGATGCAAAACGCTATGGCCGATTTCTTTTAAATTTCTCACAGACCTCTAGGGCAATGAGTCAAAGAGGCCTACCAAGTTTAGTTCCGATTTGCCTCCATTAACCTTGTCTAAAAGGTGTTCAAAATTGATTGGCCGATGGCAGCCATGTTTTTCGAGATACGCAATGCCCTCAAAGATTTGGGTGGCACCTTGGATAAAGCCAATGTATGCCAAATTTCAAGTCAATCAGACTAATCAGTTGCATAGTTACAGCCATTTTTATGTTTTTTCCTGTTTTAGCACCACCAAGTGGACAAACTACCCAATTTTTTTCTCCTTCCCTATGTGGTAAATTAAATTGTATGTACTGTATAATGCAACAGGCCACCGCTATCAAGCAACAGGCCACCTTGTCCCTTTAGTGGGTCTGTAGAACTCATTATTTGTTTTCCATGCCATTCCGAATATGGATTCACTTTTCGGGCACATACCTTGAATTCATTACATGAGAAATTTTAAATCTACAATATGGCCATAACATTTTTTCAGAAGCTGCATCTGAAGTGGCATTTAGACATACTGTATTTAAATGGACTTTAATGCAGCTCAAAGGTGGAATGAATGCATTTACACTGCAATTACAATTACATTAACAATGCTTAAAAATAATGGTATTTAAATGGGTATTAACAGGTTTCAAAAATGAATATTGAAATATGAAATGATTTCGTGGACGCTACAAAATCTGTCACACTTTTGTCAACAGTGAGTTCAGTTGTGAAAAGCACCATGAAGTGCTCATTAGAGTTAAATATTCCTTTAATCTTCTCCATTTCTGCTCTGTCTTCATTAGTGAGTGGACTGACAGGAGTAACGAGGATGAAAAGATGAACTCCAGGATCACAGAGAGACACACCGTGGAGAGTCTCCCGCATCACGTCCTCCTCTGAGAGACGAGAGAGAGCTGGAAGCTCTATTACACTGATCTGCCGTCCATCGATCTTCCCCTCTTTCTTCACACACACATTGCTCTTCTCTTTCTGATGTGAACGTTTATTCATTGTCCCTCTAAATATTTTAGACACTGAGTTCTTGAGTGTTGGATGATTTCCACACAGCACGATGTTCAGCTTTGCTTTTCCAGAAGTGACTGAAAACAAGTACACTCAATACATAAATAATACATAAAGACGACCATTATCAACAATCTCATGTAATTTGCCATAGAAATATATCATTTTTCACCTTTTTATAAGTTATACTGCCACCTATGGTCCGATCTTCATAAAAGTTTGCAAGCTTGTTTAGAATCTTATGGATTATGAGCTCTTCTAAGTTTGTGAAGTTTTGAGTTTTTATTTAGGGTTTATAGGCTTTTGTGTATATTTGGGCATGCCCTCTTCAAAAAAAATGTTTTCTTTTAGTTACAAACATTTTAGAAGCTTTTTAACTAAAACAGATTCATAAAAAGAATAAATAATAGTCATACAGTAGTGCTTCTCATTTTTCTCCATGTCATTTCCTGTCTCTACTGCACTGTAAGTATTAAAGAGCAAAAAACTATTTCATGATCATATTCTTAGAGATATTATCCAGAAAAAAGATTGACAAACCTCCTCCATCCCGTCCTGTTTTTGTGCTCTCAACAGAATTCTCTTCCTCTTTGTTGTCATCTCTATCTGAAGCTCCAGATCTGCTCAGATCTTCATCCACTGATGATCCATCACCTCCATCCTCGTACATGTTACAGATGAGAAATTCTTCATATTCTTTCTTGCGTATCTCCTCTATCCTTCTGATCAACTCAGAGCGCCATCCTGGGTTTATTGTATCAAACTTAAGGTGTCCTCCTCCACACTCCTTTATTAAATTAGAAACTGTATTATTCCATATCTTAGAAGTCCATTTGGATGTAAGTGAGTCTTCATCAGAGGTCACCACTATAGTGTGTTTAATGGCCTGCTTACTGAAGAGGTTCAGCACATATTTCACTCTGTGTCTGTCCGCCTCATTGAAGTTCTTATACTGCAGTACGAGTGCGATCACATGAGGTCCTGGAGCAGACAGAGACACACACTCTCTCGCAGCCTCTATTATCTGATGCTGTGGGAAATTTGGATGGAGCAGGTAAGTTTTGATGACTGTGATGTGTGTCTTCTCCACCTTTCCACTGATTATCTCACTGAGATGATTTGAATAAGATGGAGCTTCATTCTGAAACGCTTCTGTACCCAGTATAATGTTTCCCACACTGTTGTTTTCTGATCCATTCTTTCCTATCAGCACAATCCTCAGATCACTCACTGAAAAAGAGCACAGACACAAATAAAACAAACAAACATGTTGGTTTTATACTGTACAAACTGTATATTCGATCCTACCCCTAAACACAAACTTTACAGAACATTTTTTGCACAAAAACATAATTTTGTATGCTTTATAAGCTGTTTTCCTCATGGGGACCAAAAAGTGATGAAACATTTCAGGTTTTACTATCCTGTGTGTGGTCTAGGTAAACCCTATGTTGTGGGACACACACATACACACTCTCACTCACAAACACACGCTCACACATACACACAAATACACAAACTCCCACACACACTGCAATAAAAAACCACTGTCAATCATCACTAAAGAATCTTGTAATAAACATTATACTACAAGAGTAATGACAGAATTAGCAGATTTCTCACAAAACTAGTAATAATGTTAACATATCAAGTAGCCCTTTCAGAAGCTTTATTAACATCTATAAAATGTGTACATTTGTTTAATACTTTAAAAAGTTATCACAAATAATTTTATTGACTAACTATTGGAATGATCATTACTTGGACTTTTGACACTTTTAGTACACTAAAAATAAAAGAATGACAGCTGCATAGAGCCCTGTGACCACCAGAGAGCCACTAACACTGATTCAGTATAGTAACCAGTACAGTAAACTTGGGGAGTTTGCTTGTCCACTTGGAGAGACAGTATTTTGAAAACAAAGAAGATTTATCCATCTGTATTTGAAATTAGATGCATGTAGCATGCTATTTAGCATTAAAATACTGTGCTGGAATATGTATTAGTCTGCAGAAGTATCAGGAGTGATGTGGGTCAGTGAGGTTGTATGTTATGCTCAGTGTATGTGTTATGGGTTGTGATTAGGTGTTTAGGTGTCCAACCATATTGTGGGCCCAGATACAGAACCTGAAACAATATCCAACCTTCCCCATTAATCATTTCAACGCTCAACTGGCTTGATCCGTGGGTTGGATGCCGATTTCGATTCATTATCGACACCCGTAGCAGTGGGCAGCCATATTGCTGAAGTTCCCGGTGAGCAGTTGGGGGTTCGGTGCCTTGCTCAAGGGTCTCACCTCAGTCGTGGTACTGAAGGTGGAAGAGAGTGCTGGTCATTCACCCTCCCCACCTACAATCCCTTCCAGTACCGAGACTCAAACCCACAACCTTTGGATTACAAGCCCCCCACTTTCAATAAAACATAAATTCATCCCCCGCACTTTTTTTTGGGCAAGTGTGTTCAAGTAGCCTAGATGTTTTCAGGGGCCAGTGTAAAAAAAATCTAGATTTAAACGCAAGAGACAAGATAGTCTTTGCATGACCTGGCGTTTTATTTGTATCCAAAATGAGGAGATGTGAACATTACGGAGCGCTAAACACTCT